TTGCACCATATACAGGAGAAGGAATTGGAGTGCCCTGCTTGCCAAAGAAACTGGAGCTTAGCTGCTTCTGCTTCTCTAAGAGCTCACACTTAGAAACACAAATATTGCAGTAGAAAAAAGCAGCTCTCCTCAGGACACTGGATTCTAGAAACATGTTTGTGCCTCTTTGCCCATAGGAATGAAAGGAAGAGAGAACAACCTTCTTCAGTTTCTCTGCACCTGCAGGTTGGAAAGTCACAAACTTCTCGGATGCTTTCTCTTAGATAGACTGAATGATTTGCCACTCTTTTGTAAGCGGTTAACTGTGAAGTACTTCAGTTACAAAAGTATCATTTTAGCCAGAATTCTGTTTTCCTCCGTGCAGGGGAATAGGCATTGGAGTCCCGTGCTTACCAAAATTCTGGAGCTTATCTCCCTCTTCTGCATTAAGAACTCACACTTAGAAACACAGATCATGCAGTAGAAACAAGCAGCTCTCCTCAGTGCCCTGGAGGCTAGAAACTTCTTTGTGTCTCTTTGCCCATAGGAATGAATGGGAGACAGAACAACTTTCTGCAGTTTCTCTGCATCCATAGCTGGAAGGTCAAAAACTTCACTGAATCTTTCTCTTAGGAGACAGAATGATTTGCCACTGTTTGCAAAGTGTGGAACTGTGAAGTACTTGAGTTACAAAAGTGACGTTTTAGCCAGAGTTCTGTGTTGTGCAGTATACAGCAACAGGCTTTGGAGTGGCCAATTCCATTAGAAGCTGGAGCTCAGCTGCCTCTTCTGCATTATGATCTCACACATAGAAACACAAATCATGCTGTAGAAACAAGCAGCTCTCCTCAGAACACTGGAATCTAGAAACCTGTTTTTGTCTCTTTGCCCATAGGAATGAATGGGAGCGAGAACAACCTACTGCAGTTTTTCTGCACCTCCAGCTAGAAACTTACAAACTTCACGGATGCATTCTCTTAGGAGACTGAATGATTTGCCACTGTTTGCAAAGTGCTGAACTGTGAAGTACTTTAGTTATAAAAGTGAAATTTTAGCCAGAGGTCTGTTTTGGGCTGTATACAGGAACAGGCATTGGAGTACCCTGCTTCCCAAAGAAGCTGAAGCTTAGCTGGATCTTCTGCATTAAGAACTCACACTTAGAAACATATATCATGCAGTGGAAACAAGATGGAATCCTCAGGGAACTGGAGTCCAGAAACTTGTTTGTGCCTCTTTGCTCTTAGCAATGAATGGGGGAGAGAAAATCCTTCTACAGTTTCTCTGCATTACAAGCTGGAAGGTCACAACTTCCCGAATGCTTTCTCTTAGGAAAATGAATGATTTGATACTGTTTGCAGAACACGGAACTGTGAAGTACTTTAGTTACAAAATTGAAGTTTTATCCAGAATTCTGTTTTGTGCAGCATTCATAAACAAGCATTGGAGTGCTCTGTTTCCCAAAGAAGCTGGAGCTTACCTGGATCTTCTCCACTAAGAACTCACACTTAGAAACACAAATCATGTGGTGGAAACAAGCAGCTCTCCTCTGGTCAGTAGAATATAGAAACTTGTTTGTGACTCTAATGCCATATTAATGAATGGGACAGAAAATAACCTTCTATAGTTTCTCTGCACCCAGAGCTGGAAAATTAAAAACTTCAAGTATGCTTTCTCTTAGGAGGCTGAAAGATTTGCCACTGTTTCCATAGTGCAGAACTATGAAGAATTAGTTAAAAAAGTGATGTTTTGGCCAGATTTCTGTGTTGCGCCATATACAGCAATAGGCATTGGAGTTCCTTGTTTCCTGAAAAAACTGGAGCTTAGCTGGCTCTTCTGCATTAAGAGCTGACCCTTAGAAGCACAAGTAATGCAGTAGAAACAAGCAACTCTCCTTAGGGCACTGGAGTCTACAAAGGTGTTTGTGGTGCTTTGCCCATAGGGATGAATGGGAGAGAGAACAACCTTCTGCAGTTTCTCTGCACCTCCAGCTGGAAAGTAACAAACTTAAAGGATGCCTTCTCTCATTAGACTGAAAGATTTGCCACTCTTTTCAAGGGCGGAACTGTGAAGTACTTTAATTACAAAAGTGACGTTTTAGCCAGAGTTCTGTGTTGAGCCATAGAAAGGAACAGGAATTGGAGTGTGCTGCTTGCAAAAGAAGCTGGAGCTTAGCTGCCTCATTTGTATTCAATACACACACTAGGAAACACAAAACATGCAGTAGAAACAAGCAGCTCTCCTCAGGGCGTTGGAGTCTATAATAGTGTTTCTAGCTCTTCGCACATTGGAATGAAGGGTATAGAGCTCAACCTTCTGCAGTTTCTCTGAAACTCCAGGTAGAAAGTCAAAAACTTCACTGATGATTTCTTTAAGGAGACTGAGTGAATTCACACTGTTTTCAGAGCACCATTATGTTAAGTTCTTTAGTTACAAAAGTGACGTTTAGCCAGAGTTCTGTGTTGTGCCATATAAAGGAACAGGCAATAGATTGCCCTGCTTCCCAAAGAACCTGGAGCTTAAACAGCTCTTCTTCATTAAGAACACACACTTAGAAAAACAAATGATGCAGTAGAAACAAGCAGCTCTCCTCTGGGAACAGGTTTCTTGAAACATGTTTGTGGCTCTTTGCCCATAGGAATGAACAGGAGAGAGAACAGCCTTCTGCAGATTCTCCGCACCTCCAGGTGGAAAGTCAAAAACTTCTGGAAGTTTTTCTTAGGAGAATGAATGTTTTGCCCCTGTTTGCAGAGCGTGGAACTGTAAAACACTTTAGTTACAAAAGTGAAGTTTACCCCAGTGATCTCTGGTGTGCCTTATACAGGAAGAGGAATTGGAGTGCCCTGCTTGCCAAAGAAGCTGGAGCTTAGCTGGCTTTTCTGCATTAAGATGTCACACTTAGAAATAGAAATCATGCACTATCAACAAGCAGCTCTCCTCAGCGAACTGGAATCTTGAAACAAGTTTGTGCTTCTTTGCCCATAGGAATGATTGGGAGAGAGAAAATCCTTCTGCAGTTTCGGTGCACCTCCAGCTAGAAAGTCAAAAAATTCACGGATGCTTTCTTTTAGGTGACTGAATGATTTGACAATCTTTTCCCAGCGCGGAACTGTGAAGTACTTTACTTACAAAAGTGACGTTTTACACATAGTTCTGTGATGCGCTGTATACATGAACAGTCATTTGAGGGCCCTGCTTCCCAAAGAAGCTGAAGCTTAGCTGGCTCTTCTACATTAAGAACTCACACTTAGAAACACAAACCTTGCAGTACAAACAAGCAGCTCTCCTCAGGGCACTGGAGTCTACAAACTTGTTTGTGGCTCTTTGCCCATAGAAATGAATGGAAGAGAGAACAATCTTCTGCAGTTTCTCTTCACCTCCAGCTGGAAAGTCACAAACTTCAAGGATCCTTTTTTGTGGGAGACAGAATATTTGCCACAGTTTGCAGAGCGAGGAACTGTGTAGTACTTTAATTATAAAAGTGATGTTTTAGCCATAGTTCTCTGTTGCGCCTTATACAGGAACAGGAATTGGAGTGCACTGCTTGCCAAAGAATATGGAGATAAGCTGCCTCCTCTGCATTAAGAACTCACACTTAGAAACCCAAATCATGCAGTAGAAACAATTAGCTCTCCTCCGGACAGTGGAGTTTAGAAACGTGTTTGTTTCTCTTTGACCATAGGAATGAATGGGAGAGAGAACAACATGCTGCAGTTTCTCTGCACCTCCAGCTGGAAAGTCAGAAACATCCTGGATGCTTTCTCTTATTAGACTGAATCATTTCCTACTCTTTTCACAGTGTGGACCTTTTAAGTACTTTACTTACAAAAGTGAAGTTTTAGCCAAAGTTCTGTGTTGCACTGTATACTGGAAGAGAAATTGGAGTGCCCTGCTTGCCAAAGAAGCTGGAGTTTAGCTGCCTCTTCTTCCTGAAGAACGCACTCTTAGAAACACAAATCTTGCTGTAGAGACAAGCAGCTCTCCTCAGGGTATGGGAGTCTAGAAACGAGTTTCTCCCTGTTTGCCCATTGGACTGAATGGGAGAGAGAATAACTTCCTTCAATTTCTCTGCACCTCCAACTGGAAAGTCAGAAACTAAAAGCATGCTTTATCTTAGGAGCCTGAATGATTTGCCACTCTTTTCAAAGTGGGGAAATGTGAAGTACTTTAGTTACAAAAGTGACATATTAGCCAGAATTCTGTTTTGCGTCTTATACAGGTATAGGCATGGGAGTGCGCTGCTTGCCAAAGCAGATGGAACTTAGGTGGCTCTTCTGCATTAAGTACTCACACTTCGAAACACAAATCATGCTGTAGAAACAAGCAGGTCTCCTCAGGGCACTGGAGTCCGGAATCTTGTTTATGGCTCTTTGCCCATGGGAATGAATGGGAGAGACGTAAACCTTCTGCAGATTCTGTGCACCTCCAGCTGGAAAGTCACAAACTTTACGGATGCTCTCTGTTAGGAGAGTGATTGATTTGTCCCTCTTTTCACAAAGCCGAACTGTGAAGTACTTTAGTTACAAAAGTGACATTTTAGCCAGAGTTCTGTGTTGCACCCTATAAAGGAACAGACATTGGAGTGCCCTGCTTGCCAAAGAAGCTGGATCTTAGGAAGCTCTTCTGCATTAAGAACACACACTTAGAAACACAAATCATACAATAGAAACAAGTAGCTCTCCTTAGGGCACTGTAGTCTTGAAACGAGTTTGTGCCTCTTTTCCCATAGGAAAAAATGGGAGAGAGAACAACCTACTGCAGTTTCTCTGCACCTGATGCTGGAAAGTCACAAAGTTCACGGATGCTTTCTGTAGGAGACTGAATGGTTTGCTACTCATTTCACAGGAAGGTACTGTGAAATACTTTAGTGAAAAAAGTGACGTTTTAGCCAGAGTTCTGTGTTGTGCCGTATACAGGAACAGGCATTGGAGTGGTCTGCTTCGCAAAGAAGCTGGAGCTTATCTACCTCTTCTGCATTAAGAACTCACGCTTAGAAACACAAATCATGCAGTAGAAACAAGCAGCTCTCGGGATGGTGAGATGGCTCCGTGGTCTAAAACATGTACTTAGAACAAGATTTGCAAAGCTCATGGACAGTGGTTCAATACTCCATCACCACATCCCAGCCAGCCCGCCCCCTGGTGGGATGAGCTGGCCATGCACACACACACACATACGCACATATGTAAATAAAAATTAAAAAAAAAGAAACAAGCAGCTCTGCTCAGGGCACTTGGAATCTCGAAACTTGTTTATGGCTCTTTGCCCATTTGAATGAATGGGAGAGAGAACGAATTTCTGCAGTTTTTATGCATCTCCATGTGGAAAGTCACAAACTTCACAGATGTTTTCTGTTAGGAGACTGAATGATTTGCCACTCTATTCACAGCGCGGAACTGTGAAGTACTTAAGTTACACAAGTGACGTCTTAGACAGAGTTCTCTGTTACAGTGTATACAGGCACAGGCATATTTTTGCCCTGCATCCCAAAGAAGCTAGAGCTTACCTGGCTCTTCTGCATTAAGAAATCAGACTTGAAACAGAAATCATGCAGTAGAAACAAGCAGCTCTGTTCAGGGCACTACAGTCTAGAAACATGTTTGTAGATCTTTGAGCATAGGAATGAAATGGAGAGAGAAAATCCTTCTGCAGATTCTCTCCACCTCCAGGTGGAATGTCAACAACTTCACGTATGATTTCTATTAGGAGACTGAATGATTTGACAGTCTCTTCACCGTGCGGAACTGTGAAGTACTTTATTTACAATAATGAAGTTTTAGCCAGAGTTCTGAGATCCGCCGTTTACAGGAACAGGCATTGGAGGCTCTGCTTAACAAAGAAGCTGGAGCTTATGTGGCTATTATGTAATAAGAACTCACACTTAGAAAGAAAAATTATGCAATAGAAACAATCAGCTTGCCTCAGGGCACTGGTGTGTAGAAACGTGTTTGTGGCTCTTTGCCCATAGGAATGAATGGGGAAGAGAACAACCTACTGCATTTTCTCTGCATCTCCAGCTGGAAAGTCACAAACTTCATGGATGCTTTCTGTTAGGAGACTGAATGATTTGCCTCTTTTTACAAAGGACGGAATTGTGAAGTTCTTTAGAGACAAAAATGACGTTCTAGCCAGAGTTATGTGTTGACCGTATACAACAACTTTCACTGGAGTGTGCTGCTTCCCAGAGAAGCTGGAGCTTAGCCGGCTCTTCTACCTTAAGACTTCACACTTAAAAACACATATCTTGCAGTAGAGGCAAGCAGCTTTTCTCAGGGCACTGGAGTCTGGAAATGTCTTTGTGCCCCTTTTCCCATAGGAATGAATGGGAGAGAGAACAACCATCTGCAGTTTCTCTGCACCTCCAGCAGGAAAGTCACAAGCTTCATGGATTCTTTCTCTTAGGAGACTGAATGATTTTCCATTGTTTGCAGAGGCAGAACTGTAAAGTACTTTAGTTACAAAAGTGACGTTTTAGCCAGAGTTCTGTGTTGCGCCATATACAGGAACTCGATTTGGAGTGCCCTCCTTACCAAAGAAGCTGGAGCTTAGCAGCCTCTTCTGCTTTAAGAACTCACATTTAGAAACACAGTTCTTGCTATAGAGAGAAGCAGATCTCCTCAGGACACCAGAGTCTTGAAAGGTGTTTCTGACTCTTTGCCCTTATTAATGAATGGGAAACAGAACAAACATGCTTTTTCTCTGCACCTCCAGCTGGAAAGTCACAAATTTCACGAATGCTTTCTCTTAGGAGATGGAATGATTCGCCACTCTTTTCAAAGTGGGGATCTGTGAAGTACTTTACTTACAAAAGTGAAATTTAAGCTAGAATTCTGTTTTTCACAATACACAAGAATAGGCATTGGTGTGCCCTGCTTGCTAAAGAAGCTGGATCTTAGGTGGATCTTCTGCATTAAAAACTGACACGTAGAAACACAAATCATTTAGTGGAAACACGCAGCTCTCCTCAGGGCACTGGAGTGCAGAAAGTGTTTGTGGCTCTTTGCCCATAGGAAAGAATGGGAAAGAGAACAACCTAATGCAGGTTCCCTGCACCTCCAGCTGGAAAGTAAAAACTTCACGGATGCTTTCCCTTATTAGACTGAATGTTTATCCACTCTTTTCAGAGTGCGGTACTGGGAAGTGCTTTACTTTCAAAAGTGATCTTTTAGCCAGAGTTCTCTGTTGTGCCATATAGAGGAACAGGCATTGGAGTGCACTGCTTCTTAAAGAAGCTGGAGCTTAGCTGGCTCTTCTGCATTAAGAACTCACAGTTAGAAACACAAATCATGCTGTAGAAACAAGCAGCACTCCTCAGGCCACTGGAGTGTAGAAACGTGTTTGTGGCTCTTTGCCATAGGAATAAATGAGAGAGAGAAGAACTTTCTGCAGGTTCTCTGCACGTCCAGCTGTCAAGACACAAACATCATGGTTGCTTTTTCTTAGGAGAGTGAATTATTTGCCACTCTTTACACAGGTCTGAACTGTGAAGTACTTTAGTTACAATAGTGAGGTTTTAGCCAGAGTTCTGTGTTGCGCTGTACACAGGAACAGGCATTGGAGTGCCCTGCTTTGCAAGGAAGCTTCAGCTCACCAGAATCATCTGCTTTAAGAACTAACACTTAGAAAAATAAATCAAAGAGTAGAAACAAGCAGCTCTCTCAGGGCACTGGATTATAGAAACGTGTTTGTGCCTCTTTGCCATAGGAATGAAAGTTAGCGAGAACAAAGTTCTGCAGTTTCTCTGCACCTCCAGCTGGAAAGTCAAAAACTTCACAGATGATTTCTCTTAGGAGACTAAATGATTTTCCAATGTTTGCAAAGCACGTAACAGAGAAGTACTTTAGTTACAAAAGGGACATTTAAGCCAGAGTCTGGGAAGTGACATGCACAGGATAAGGCAATAGAGTGCCCTGCTACACAAAGAAGATTGAACTTATCTGGTTCTTCTGCATTAAGAACTCACACTTAGAAACAAAAATCATGCAGTAGAATAAAGCAGCTCTGCTCAGGCTACTGGAGTCTGGAAACAAGTCTGTGCCTCTTTGCCCATAGTAATTAATGGGAGAGAGATGAACCTTGTGCATGTTCTCTGCACCTCCGGCTGGAAAGTCACAAACTTCACAGATAGTTTGTGTTACAAGTCTGAATGATTAGCCACTATTTTCACAGGGTGGAACTCTGAAGTACTTTAGTTGCAAAAGTGACATTTTAGCCAGAGTTCTGTGCTTTGCCATATACAGGAATATGCATTGGAATGCCCTGCTTGCCAAAAAAGCTGTAGCTCAGGTGGCTCTTCTGCATTAAGAACTCACATGGAGAAACACAAATCATGCAGTAGAAGCAAGCAGATATCCTCAGGGCACTGCAGTCTATAAACGTGAATGTGGCTCTTTCCCATAGAAATGAAAGGTAGAGAGAATAACCTTCTGCAGTTTCTCTGCACCTCCAGCTAGAAAGTCACATACATCACGCATGTTTTCTCTCAGGAGACTGAATATTTGCCACTGTTTGCAGAGCGAGGATCTGTGAAGTACTTTAGTTACAAAACTGATATTTTTGCCAGAGTTCATGTAGCGCTGTATACAGGACCAGGAATGGGACTGCTTTACTGGCCAAAGAAGCTGGGCCTTAGCTGGCTCTTCTGCATTAGGAACTCACACATAGAAGCACAAACCATGCAGTAGAAACAAGCAGCTCTCCTCAGGGCACTGGATTCTTGAAATGTGTTTGTGCTTCTTTGCCCATATGAATGAATGGGATAGAGAACAACATTCTGCAATTTCTCTGCACCTCCGTCTGGAAAGTCATAAACTTCATGGATGCTTTCTCTTATCAGACTGAATTATTTCCCACTCTTTTCACAGCATGGAACTGTGAAGTACTTTAGTTACAAAAGTGATGTATAAGGCAGAGATTTTGTTGCGCCGTATACAGGAATAGGCATTAGAGTGCCCTGTTTCACAAAGAAGCTGAAGTGTAGCTGGCTCTTCTGCCTTAAGAACTCACACTTAGAAACATAAATCATGCAGTAGAAACAAGCAGCTCTCCTCAGGGAACTGGAGTCTAGAAACGAGTTTGTGGCTCTTTGCCTATAGTAATGAAAGGGAGAGAGAACAACCTTCTGCACTTTCTCTGCACCTCTAGATGGAAAGTCACAAACTTCTCAGTTGCTTTATCTTAGGAGACTGAATGATTTGCCACTGTTTGCAAAGCACAGAACTCTGAAGTAATTTAGTTACAGAAGTGACGTTTTAGCCAGTGTTCTGTGTTGGGCCGTATACAAGAAGAGGAATTGGAGTGCCCTACTTGCAAAGAATATGGAGCTTACCTGGCTCTTCTGCATTAGGGACTCACACTTAGAAAGTCTTATCATGCAGTAGAAACTAGCAGGTCTCCTGAGGGCACTGGAGTCTAGAAACATGCTTGTCCCTCTTTGCCCATAGGAATGAATATGAGAGAAGACAACCTTCTGCAGTTTCTCTGCATCTGTAGCTGGAAAGTCACAAATGTCACGGATGCTTTATATGAGGAGACTGAATGATTTGCCACTCTTTTCAGAGCACGGAACAGTGAAGTAATTTAATTCCAAAAGTGTTGTTTTAGACAGAGTTCTGAGTTGCACCGTATACAGGAACAGGAATAGGTGTGCCCTGCTTCCCAAAAAGCTGGACTTTAGCTGCCTCTTTTGCATTAAGCAGTCACACATAGAAACACAAATAATGCAGTACAAACAAGCAGCCCTCCTCTGGGCACTAGGTTCTAGAAATATATTTGTGCCTCTTTGCCCATAGGAATGAAATGCAGAGAGAACAACCTTCTCCAGTTTCTCTGCACCTCCAGTTGGAAAGTCAAAACTTCACGGATTCTTTCTCTTATTAGACTGAATTATTTGCCACTCTTCTCACAGCGTAGAACTGTGAACTACTTTAGTTACAAAGTGAGGTTTTAGCCAAAGTTCTGTATTGCACTGTATACAGGAATAGGAATTGGAGTGCCCTGATTGCCAAATAAGCTGGAGTTTAGCTGCCCCTGCTGCTTTATTAACTCATGTTTAGAAATACAAATCTTGCAGTAGAAACAAGCAGCTCTTCTCAGGGAACTGGAGGCTACAAACCTGTTTGTGCCTCTTTGCCCATAGGAGTGAATAGGAGA